CCATACCTGGACTGCCCACAGGTGTCTCAAACAGAACAGAGCTCTTGGTTTTCACCCCCAAACTTTTGGGCTCCATTCTTAACATTCTCAGCCATTCCCGTCCTCCTCACATCTCCCATGCCGTCGATCCATTGGCAAATGCTACTGCCCCCAGCCTCCGTGTACATCCCAGTTCCAGCCCTTCCCCCCTCCCACCTGGTCTGCGTGCCCGCTGCCGCTGCCTGGATTACGGAAAGCTGTCTCGCTTGTCTCCCTGCTTCACTCTTTGCCTATTTCCATTTGTTTTCTGTGCAGCAGCAAGACTGATCTTTTCCTTTTTCCTTTTAAAAAACGTAAATCATATCTTGCCATTTCTCTGTTCAGTGTCTTTGGTTGAGTTCTCCTTCCCTTAACACCTTTAACTGCACTAAATCATATATTTGCTTACTTGGTTGTTATTTGAATCCCTAACTAGAATGAAAACTTGGTGGGGACTGGTATTAATTATATCCTTGACATCAGAAGAGTATCTTGTTAGTAAAAGGTATTCAATATTTTTTGAATGAATAATTGATTACAAGGTAGTAAAGAGTGAGGTTATTTCTTAGTTTTGGTTGATATGAGTGAAAAGTCTTAAGAGGTAAAATGGGCAGAGAAGGAGTTTGGAAGGCCCACGGTGGTGAAAATCATGAGTGTGTTCCTCGTGCCTACTATAGATTTGTGCCGTCTGACCCCCTGGCCCTCCATGGTCATCCTCTTAGCTTCCTCAGCCCATTCCTGATGGGAATTTGGGGGCTCTTCTAGGTGTTTTCTGCTCTAAGGTGCCCACCACTTGCTCCAAGCGAGTGCACCCCTCTCCTACTTCACAGAGGCAAGACTTAACTCCCTCCATCCATCTTAGGATCCCTCTTGTCCTCACACTGGTGTCTACAGACGGCACGTCCTAACTGTAAATTTGGGTAAGTTGCGTGATCTGAGCATCCATTTTGCATCTGTTGTAAAAGGGGGGCCATGCCGCCCTTGTGGACGGTGTGTTGAGGAGAACGTGTTTGTGCAGGACTCAGCATGGTGCCTGGCACGGACCTGGTCTCTCCAGGTCTGTAGGCTCCTGCTCTTCGAGTGCTCAGGCTTGGGGAGTGTAGGGGAGGAGGCTGTTGTGTACTGGAAGGATCCTCAGGGCTTCTCCTGTTACTGTCACTTCTGTCTAATTACCTTCAGGCTACTTACCACATATAAGTAGGTGAAGAAAAAGCTTTTTAAACCTTTACCTAGGGGGGGCCGGCCCAGTGGCGCAAGTGGTTAAGTGCATGTGCTCCGCGGCGGCGGCCTGGGGTTCGCAGGTTCGGATCCTGGGCGCGCACCCATGCACCACTTGTCAAGCCACGCTGTGGCGGCGTCCCATATAAAGTGGAGGAAGACGGGCACGGATGTTAGCCCAGGGCTAGTCTTCCTCAGCAAAAAGAGGAGGATTGGCAGATGTTAGCACAGGGCTGGTCTTCCTCACACACACACAAAAAAACAAAACCTTTACCTAATTTATCTCTAATCTTCAGTTTTTTTTGCATCAGCTTCATTTCACCTATGCATTCCTTAATCCTTGCCCCCTGCCTCCACCCTGCCATTCCTGAACGGCTCCTGGAGGGCTCAGCCCCTCTGGCATTTGCCGCTGCTTGACCACTTCCTTCTCAGCGCCTGTGGTCTGGGGCGCTCGCCATCTTCACCTGCTCCCTTTATCGCCCCTGATGGCTCTTTCCCCTTGTTCCTTCTGTGGCTCACATCTTGCCCCCGTTCACTGCCCCACAGCTTGTCCTTCCTCATAGACTCCTGGGGGTCAGTCCTGCATCTGCAGCCCCCAGTTCACAGCTGCCTCCTGCTTTGCACCTGGCCCGTCACTCTCCTGCCCCTTTAGTTCTAGGCCCTCTTAAGGTTCTTCCATGAACCGCTGCTTCTGTACACCCTACAGTCGAGGAATCTTGTGTCATTCCTTCGATAGAAAACGTCCCTGGTTCCCCACTGCTTACTGAAGGGAGAACACATTCCTTGCTGGCGTTCACACCTCTGTAAACTGGCCCAGCTTGCGCTTCCCCCTCTTATACCCCTGACTCCAGGCACACAGGACTCTCTTCTCTTCCCCTCTTCCCTCACCTTCCCCTTCAGTCCTTTCACACTACCTCGTTTTCACATATTGCTTTTTGTCTGGAACGCTGCCCCCTCCTTCTGCCTGTAGAAATACCAGCTTCTCTCTGTGGCCTCCTTGCTTTTCCCAGACCCTGTGCTTCTCCTTCCCCATCACTCCCTTAGCAGCTCCTGGGCCTCCCTGCCCTCGCTGTGCCTAGTGTGGATGGTCTCTGCCACAACCCTGTTGTGGGCTCTTCAAGGGCAAGGCCGGTTCATACCCACTAGAACATACATGGGCCACACATGCAGGTGTTCAGGGAATGTCTGTTACTCAAATGGCAAGCAGCCCTCCATGGTGTGAGTTATGCTGGAAACAGTTTGATCCCAACTGCCAGGTGGGGATGTGGTTTGGGGGCCCAGGCTCCCCCTGTTCTTAGGGCCTCTCTCCCATGGGGCTGTAGGGGGTCCCTTTTCTCCACAGCCAGGATTGGAGGCCAAAATCAGCCCCTGAGGATCATCGTCAGGGCCGCCATGAGCTGGGCAGCCTTGTTTTCTGACCTCAGACATGTATGGCTGTTGGGAGACCCTACCTGGTCTGTGTCAGGCTAGGGCCTTCAGTGGCAGCAGTGGGCATGGGGCCTCTGGCCTTCTTGGGATACTGCCAGGCTCTCATGAGCCAGTCGTGGCCTAGGTTGCCCCAAAAGTAGCTTGGCCTCCTGCCTGCTCCACAGGAAGGGCGTATGCACACTCAGCAAGTGGGCACTTACCACAGAGATGCCTGTGAGTGAGGGGGCCTCTCACCTCCTGCCTTCCTGCTAGACGGCTGCTCTGCCCCAGTAGATGTTCCCAGGAAGAGGGGTGTGCAGGAGTGGGGACTTCTGTTGTAGAAGGGGCATTGGAGGCCACCTAACTTGGAGGGAAGCTCACCACTTTCCCTGCCTGGATTAACATGGGAGGCAGCCAGGCCGTTGCATCCATCGGCTCACAGCCATGTCTCCTGCCCAGGGTCCCGTACAGGATTGCGCGGCGGGGGGTGGTGAGGAAGAGCCGGGAGTGGGTGCTGGAGAAGAAGGAGCGCCGCAGGCGTCAGGGCAAGTGAGTACTGGGCGGGCACAGCTTGGGGGCGGGGGTGTCTTCGCCACTGAGTATTCGCCTGCATCTGAAGGGGTCCCAGGGGTTTTTTGTTATCTCTTCTGAGACTGTTCTGTTCTTCCCACCCCTGTTCTTTCTTTGGCACAGGGAGGTCAGACCTGACACCCAGTACACCGGCCGCAAGCGCAAGCCCCGTTTTTGAGCGGCCAGCTGGGGTGCACACAGCCTCGCGCTGTGCCATCCAGCCCAGGCACTCGCCCCTGCGAAGTTTTCTGTACTGAAGTGCCTACTTCAGCTTACAATGTAGTGTTTTAGAAAAGTTCTAAAGTTCTAAAAGTATTTTTTCACTAAAAAACGTTCTGAGAGCACCTTATTTTGTTCTAAAAGCAATAAACCACTTTCTGTGGAACTCTGGCATTTTCCAGCGCTGTGGTCCTCAACAAATTCCTTAAGTTCCTCTGTTGGTGGGGACTACTACTTCATTCCCCAGGTACAAGTTAGGTTTAAAGGATTTAAATGTACAAAAGCACTCTTTTAACCTACAGAGGGCACAGGTAGTTTCCTTTAATTTAGGGCTGCTTATATATAACTATATTATATACTACTACACTAGGCACAGTTGGGAAGGATGGGCAGGATGAAATGTATCTGTGATCCCAGTGGCCTGGGCTGACCTTTGGCCCTGAGCCATCATCAGCTGCTGACCTGACCAGCCCAACGCTTGGTTGCCTCAGGGGCCTGTCTCCTGTCTGATCACTAGTGGTCAGAAGGGCAGGACCTGCACTGGGTGCGTTAGGGGGACTGTCTAGCAGGCTGATAAGAGAGGGGATCCAGTAGTTGCTGTGACTTCTGGAAGTGGGAAGAGGGGGTGGTTCTGGGCCCGCGGTACAGAACAGGCATCAGGTGTTAAGTAGGAACTGAGACTGGGTGGGGTGGAGGGGCCAGAGGGTCTGGACACTGAAAGCTGGGGGAGGAGGTTGGGATCCTTCACCCCTGAGCCCCTTTCCATTAGTGCCACATACATTCACCCCCAAGTTGAAGGCCATGACATGGTGACAGTAAGAAATCTAGGGCAGAGGCACAGTACAGATACAAATGTTTAATCTACATAAAAATTTCACAAACTGGGCAGCTGGTTGTACCATGACCTTTGGTGAAGGGGGTGAAGGAGGGGAGGGAAGTCGCTGTTCAAGAAAGCAACACGGACAGTGGTCACAGTCACTGGGCAGGAGCAAAGCTGAGGGAAGGTGGGGCACAGACGTGGCCCCATCCCCTACTGCATGCAGTCGCATGCACAATCCCTGCCTGTCAACGAGGAAGAGGGGTCTTGGGGTGGGGGCACATTTCTGACTTGAGAAGCCCCAAGATGGGGAGGGGGAGGTACCCCTCCCTGGCCGGCTGCTGAATACTGCATCCAAGACACCTGACACCCATGTGGCACATCAATGGGGGACAGCAAGGGCAGGACATGATTGCAGGCCTGAAGTGACATCTGACTTGCCAGAGCACAAGAGAGCAGGGACTAGTGTCCCAAACATGCGACACAATGGCTTGAGGACCTGACTAAGGCCTGCTGGGGAGAGTGGCTGGCCCATTCTGTGGGCTTCAGCCAGGGCAGAGGCCTGACACTGGGGCTTGCCCTGCCTCCCTAGCTACAAGGGGGGCTGGAGAGCAGGCACCAGCCAACCTCTTCCAGAATGTTACCTGGGGTTAGGCATAGCCCAAAGGGGTTGCTCCTGGGGCTGTGGGTATGTAGGAAGGAAGGCTAAGGCAGCCAAAGACCTGTTGGACTCTGCCCCCAGGTAGGGGAGGGATCCTGGTCTTGACACAGCTGGAAGCCACCTGGCCATGGCACCCTGAGCCTCCCTGGCAGTGATTGGCTGGCTATTAGAGGCTTAGAGCTGGGCTGTCTCTCAGGGCCACCCCTCCCCTAACCTGAAAAGCAGCACCATGTGGCCAGCTGGTCCCCACCCCTTAGGGGGACAGCTGGAGAGGACAGAGGACGGGGAAGATGGGCCGGTCAGTAGGAGGTAAGGTTGGGGTCCAGAGAAAGCCTTGATCCCAGGAGAGGGGAGACCCCAGGTCGGAGTGGGATTACTGGGATTACAGTAGGGGAAGGGCAATATGGCTACCCTAGGCAGCCCTGCCTGGTGAGGGCGAGGTGGCCTGGGCCAGGGCCTGAGTCTATCCCTTGCTGACCCATCGCCACCTCACTGGCTGTTTCCCAGCCTGCCTCCCCTCTGCCCCTTCTGTACAGACGCACACCGTTACAAAGATCATGCACATGACGGCTCAGGGCAGGGTGGGTACGGAGGGCCCTGTGGCAGAGAAAGGAGCAGGATGGGGTGGGAAGGACGGAGCTCTGAGCCAGAAGGCGGCAGCAGCCAGGGGGCCTCTTGCGCGTGGACCATCCAGAGTGGAGTGGCAGCTGGGGTGGTTTCTATCCAAAGATGCCTCCAAAGGTGGAGGCGATGACAATGCCCAGGACCACACAGCAGATGATGATCATGATCTTCTTCTGCACCAGGGAGGCAGGAAGCAACGGCCTCAGACAGTGCCTGGGAGAGGCTGGGGCTGGGAGGGAGGCTGAGTGCTCTGGGCGGAGCTTCGAGGGGTGTGGGACAAAAGGAGAGGGAAGGGGCTTGGGGCCAGTGGGGAGGGGGCTATGATGAGGGTTGAAGGCTGGAGAGTCTGGGGGATGGAATGGGGGAAAGGTGATGGCCTAGAACGTGTCTGGGCCGGGGGCTATGATGGGGTGCTGAAGGCCTGAGCGAGTTGAGTGAAGGCAGGCTCTGGTCAGAGCTGAGAGGTGGGGTAAAGGCAGAAGGGGGAGGGATTTGTGATGGTCCAGGGGCTCTGATGGGTGCACGTGGGATGCGGGCTCAGGCAGGGTTGGGGCTACTAACCCGGCGTGCCTTGCTCTGGTACTTGACAGCCTTCTTGGTGTCAGACACGGCCCTCTCCACATAGTCCACCGAGTGCTCCACATTGTACTCGATCCTGTCAATCATCTCCCCCTGCAGGGTCGGGGGCACCTGAGCTCCAGAGGGCCCCCCTCAGGGTCCGGAGGGGGCTCATGGCAGGACTTTGGGAAAGCACCCTGAGATGAAGAGAGAAAAGTGGGGTGGTGAGGACAATAAGAGTACAGCTTCTCGCCTGTGCCCTTTGGGCCAGGCACCCTGGGCAGCTCCCGCCTCTCCCCGCAGAGCACCCATCCTGGGGAGGGAACTGACCATGCAGTCTCAGCCAAGGCGGTGGGGACCATGCAGAGAACTCAGCTGGGGCCCTCACCCCAGTGCCTGGAGCTGGATGGAGGGCAGGGGCAGGAGTGGGTGGGCTGGAGTCTGGCCGTAGCTCACAAGGTGACCACAGTGAGCCCCACAACCCTTTTGGGCCCTGCAGTCTGGTCCCATGCTGCCCCCAAAGGCCACTCCGACCGTGATGCTGCCCCACAGGACTCCCAGCAGTGGCGTGCCCGCCTCCTCTCTAAGTCCACTGCCCCCACTGGCGTCCACATCGCCATATTCTCTCACCCGGATGGCAGCGGCAGCCTCCTGATGGCCTCCCTGCTTCCTAACTTGGATCACACCACTCCCACACTTAAGACCCTCCGGTCTAGAAGAGAAGCCAGACCCCCAGCACCGCGTGCCAAGGCCCCCGCCTACCTCATCTCCAACTACCCCTGTGCTCCAGCCGCATGGACCTCCTTTCTGCTTCTCAAATATGTCAGGCTCTTGCTAGTCTCAGGCCATGGTACTGCTGGTCTCTCTGCCTGGGCCAGCTCTTCACTCTTCCCGAGAAGTCTTCTGAGCTCAAATGCCACCTCTCCTCAGAGAGGCCTTCCCTGACCACCCTGTCCAAAATGGCCACCGCAGTGACTCTATCAGAGTCACTCCAGATGTGGCCCTTGGACTAGTAGCATGGGCAGCACTCTTGAGCTCGTCAGGAATGCAAATTCATGGGTCCCCACTCTGACCTACTGATCTCTAGGAATGGGGACCAGAAAACTTACAAGCCTTCCAAGTGTTTCTTGGGTACTTTCAAGTTTGAGAACCACTACTCTTATCACATTGCCTCCTCCTAACATCTCCTGAGCACCTGGCATGACTGGAGAATATTCCGTTTGTTGTTTACTTATGTTACCCGTTCGCCCAAAAGACATTAGCTCCAGGAAGCAGGCCCTCAGCTGTCCTGGTCACCGCTATGCCTCCCAGGGCCCACATGACAAACAGCTGGTGAAGAAGACAGGACAAGGCTGGGTGTAGGTGGGAAGGGCCATGCAGGGCCTGGGGTCCTGGAGGGCCAAGCAGAGCCATGCAGCGCCTGGGGCCTGGTGGCCGAGCCATGCAAGGGTCCTTCGGGTGGCAGGGCTCTGGAGGCAGTTTCAACAGTGGGTGGTTAGTTACCTGCAGATTTGGTCCCTCCCGGGCAGGGCAGCGTGTCGGGCAGAAAGGATGGGGTTAGTTCAGCCATGGGTGCTGCTGGGGGCTGGGGGTGGAGGGCAGTGGGCCCCCGGGTACTCACCTGGCTCTCCACGAGCATGGCCATGTCCCTGAACATGTCATGCAGCTCACGGATGCTGTTCTCCAGCTTGATGATCTCACTGTGCCGTGTCTCAATCTCACTCAGGGCCTGCTTCGAGATGCTGGAGTCCATGATGATCTAGGAGGTAGGAGCAGGGAGCTGGGACCCAGGCGCCTGCTGAAGGGGTCAGGGGTGGGGACCAGGACAGCAGGAGGCCAAGGGTGAAGGCGACTGGGATGGGCAGGGCTTGAGTAAAGCATGCGTTCTGGAAGCAGGACTGAGGCTTCCTCCTTAGCCACAGTCCTCCGCCCACTTCCTGCCTGGCCCTTACTTGTTGTTACCTGATTTCTCTGAGGTCTGACTTCCTACCTGTAATACGCGTCTGATACCACCCCCCCGGCCCCATGCTTGCAGAGTACCTGCTAAGTGGTAGTGCTCATTACCAGTGTTGCACAGAGCCAGAGGTGACTGCCCCAAGGACCAGGCCTTGAACTGCCTGCCTCCCACACTAACTGCCCCTCCCCTCTCTCCTCCTGGGACCCACATCCCTAAGCTGCCTCCCACCCTGTGTGGCACCTCCTTCAAGAAGCCCCCCTGCTCAAGCTTCACTTGAATATAGAGATGGCCAAGGGCACCAAGTCCTCTAGGAGGAGTAAAAGGCCTTGAGGGTGGTGGAAGGAGGCCCTGGCTGGTGACAAATGGGCAGCGGTAGCAAGAACGGGGACCCACCTGGGAGGAGCCAGGGGTCTTAATTGCACCTTTGACACTAACATTTATGTGACCTTGGCCTGGTTCCCTCCCCTCTCTGGGACTCAGCCTTCTTTAAAACCTGCCTCACAAGGTGCCTGTGACCAAAAACTGTCCAGATCCAGCAGCGCTTTGCACACAGACCGGGGGTCCCAGTGGGCGGGGTGAGGTCCACACTCACCCCGGAAGCAAAGATGGCCGGGTTCCCACTTTCCAGCATGTCCTCCAGCTCCTCACTGGTCGTAGTCCGGCCGGCTGCGAACAGGGGCCACACTGAGTCCCGCCCTCTCCAGGGAGCACAGCAGCGGCCCCGCCGCTCAGCCTAGGCCCCGCCCTCCAGCTTTGGGCCGCCCCAGCCGGGCCCCGCCCTCAGCGTACTGATCTCCAGCTGCCTCTGGATGCGGCCCTTGCAGCGCTCGCGGTAGTCAGACTGCGTCGCGTTGTACTCGGACATGACCTCCACAAACTTCCGGGACAGCGTGGAGTGCTGGGGGTCCGAGATAGGGGTGCAGGGGTCAGGCCCAGCCCCACGGGGCCCCAGAGCCTCAGCACCCCCCAGCCTCTGGCCTGCACCTGTGTCTTGCGGATCCTCAGGTCGGCTGAGGAGCGGTTCAGGCCTTCCTCCTGCTCGATACTCTGCTCAATGCCTGGGGGACAAATGGCTACTTAGCCACAACCTGCCCCATTCACCGCTGCCCCCCGCCC